ATTTTTGTACATTGATCTTGTATCTTGCTACTTTGCTAAAAATGTTTGTCAGATATAAGTTTTCTGGCTGTATCTGTAGGATACTGTAAGTATAGAACTGTATCATATGCAAATAAGGATAATTTGACTTCTTTCATTTCTTTTTATTACCTTATTGCTTTGGCTAAGAATTCAAAGAGTTCATTGAAAAAGAGTGGTAACAGTGGGCATCCTTTGAAGTCATTGATCATTTTTTAAATTTAAACTTCTGGATTTTTTGTCTGCCATTTCATCTGCTTTGGTATCTCTGAATTCAGTTATTGAATAGATAAGAATTTCTGGCAAAGTTATGTTGCCTTGCCTTTTCATATTCCTTGTGTTTCTATGTTGTGAATTGCACCTCTTTTTGGATAGATAACTCTTCCATTTTTAACTGAGGCTCTTCTTAGTGAGCAACCTTTTCCTGTGTCCTCAATACACAAAACCACTCAGGGAGAGAAGACAAATGGCAGTAACAACAACAACAACAAAACGAAATACATAAAATACTGTCAAAAATTATAAATAACAATTATACCCCTACTAAACATAGAAAGGAGAATGGGAACTCACTTTGAAAGTTCTCCCACTAACCAAATCAAGAACCATAAGAATATCAAGATAAATAGGAATAATGCATTGCTACTGAATGAGATTGGATAAAATATGAGACTGTGAATCTATATAATGAGTAAATAAAAGGTGGGGAATGAAGCTCCTCCTCCTTAGTAGAAATCAAATTTTGAGATGATGAAAATAGAAAATCCACCTTTCCCAACTATTACAGTGGTAGCTAACTCAGATAGGAGTCATCAGTGGGGACTGAAGCTGGTACATTGAAGTTTTATGAGGAACAGGATTCTAGAATAATATCAGAGTACCTCCCCTCATAATACCAATCAAGGACAAAGATGAAATTGGTAACATTATGATGTAGTTTGGCAGACAAGAGCACGGCCAGGTGATCACTTTTAACATCACCTGCAGTGGGTTGTTACCCGAAAATACCAAGTTGAATCATACTGAAAGGGCATAATATGATGGTCAGTCAAAAATGTGAGACACACAGGTGACTGGAGGCCCTCACGACCAAGGGATGAGTAATTATATAGAAGACTGTTCTTTTTTCAGGAGAATAAACCCTGTAGAAGGTAAATAGCCTGCTCTGAAAATTTTCCAAAGACCACTAATGAGGAGAGGTACAAAGAAAAAACACAGAGATGGGAGCAAAGGCAGTGACACCTGGACAGTTGGGTAATCTTGATGAAAGGGTTATGTTCTGCAGGTTTAAGTTTGAATTATTTCAAATAAATTATTGAATTAATAATCTTCCAGAGAGTATAATGGATTTCCCTCAATATTATAGGATATCCACACACTGACTGGATAGGGCTTTTTCTTCCACAGAGCTTCAGCACTGGTGAGAGAAAATTCAATCACTGGGTATGGAGATAAAATAAGCATAAGAGAAAGATTATAAATAAGAGAGGAAAACCTTTTGAATTCTCATGGATAGAATTTGTTTTCAGTTCTTCTTATAAAAGGAACAGAAAAGAATTTCCAAATGCAATTAAAGATTTATGGATTATAGTAACTTTTTGAATGGTGATTGTACTACCAAACATAAACAAAACAGTGAAAGCAACCACTCCTGCACTCCAAAGACTCTACTTATTTGCAGCCAGAAGACAGGAGAAAGATTGAAACCATTAAGGCCAATCAGGAACTACCTTTCTCATTGATACCTAAACAAAAAAGAGAGTAAACATGAATATCAATGTTTCCTATACTTTAGCTGTAAAAAAGAAAGAAGTGCAAGATTTAGTTGCACTGTGTGAACTTAGGAAAGCCTAAGACAATGCCAATAACCTCCTTCCTTGCTGAGATGCTCACCACTCAGCACAAACACATTGTGAAGCCTCAGCACAGGAGACACTTGGTTATTGATCACTAGTCTACTAGCATGGAAAGATCAGCAGGGTAAATGTGCCTTCATACACATCTCTTCAACTCGCACACATTCATTCAAATAATGCTGTCTTCTACCTCTTTTAGCACAAAATCTGAAATGATCAACACTTTCATGATTATTATGCTTCACAAAAAGCTTGTCAGCTTGTCATAAGTCATTTTTAACTAAGCATGTAGCAAAAGACAAATCTTTGAATCCACCATCCCACTCCTTATTCTCCTCCTCAGGGTTCCTTATCACAAGAAATAGACAAAGGGTGGTCATGACAGCAGGCATTGCTGTGTGGACAGACTTCTAATCCTGCACATTGCTCCTGGCCTCAGACATCAATTCTCAGTTCCTCTTCCTTTCTCTCCTAACCATATGCCAAAACTTTCTACCCTATCTTGTCATTCCCTTGCCCTGTAAAGAAATTAGCTTCTGTTAACAGAAAACACCACAGTTCCATACAAAACATCAAGACAAAGGGAAACATCCGGTTCCATACCAAAATTCAGCCACATTGAATCAAAGGAATCTTAAAACAGATCTGCCCACCCAGCTTTTGAGGGTGAGGAAAAAAGTTGCTTGTTTTCTAAAGAGGTAATTATTTTTGCTATTAAACAATCCAAACACTTAGACTATTCTATGTGAGAAAACTCGAAATCACTTCTCAACACCATAGTGAAGTACAGGCACATTTCAACAGAAATCACTGACCACTCTAACAGCTAGCACCTGTGAACTACTAGAGATATCTGATGGTGAGTAGGCTCTGTGTAAATGATCACTCTCTCTCTACACTAGCTCCCACTTCAATATCATGCTCTGACTTATGGACTCACTACTGTATGAAAAAAATGACAATCATAATTCTTAGTTCTTTTAAAAATAGTATTATCTGCATTGGTTTGGATCTTAAAGTCTCATAGATTGGACTTCATATAACACCTTGTAGTATATATTTTCTGCCTGTCAAGCCAGTTGCTGGTAGCTTACACATGCAATCCTAGGTAGTTGGGAGGCTAAGATTGGGAGGATGGTGGTTTGATTCCAGCCTGGGAAAATAGTTCATGAGAATCCATCTCAAAATAACCAGAGTAAAAAGGACTAGGGGTCTGTCTCAAGTGGCAAAGTGTTTGCTTTGCAAGTACAAAGCCCTGAGTTCAAATCCCAATCTCACTTCCTCCTAAAAATTTCTGTTTATATAGTAGAGGAAAGGTATTAAGTAAACTGATATGGACCATGAACTTATTGTATTTAAAAAGGAAAGCACTTTCACAGTATATTATCATTTCAACTCTCTTGATTCTAGAAGGACATTCAGTACATAAGTATCTAAAGTGTCTCTTTCATCAAGATTGAAGAGGCAACCCACAAAATGGAAGAAAATCTTTGCCAGCTATATGTCTGACAAGGGATTAGACTAGGAGTTCAAAAACCTAAATTTCCCCAAAACTCAATGACCCAATGAAGAAATGGGCAAATGAACTGAATAGAGCTTTTTTCAAAGGAAGAAGTCCCAATAACCACAAAAACACATGAAGAAATGCTTAACATTCCTCACCATAAAGGAAATGCAAATCAAAACCACAGTAAGATTCCACCTCACTCCTGTTAGAATCAAGAACACAAACATCAACAAATGTTGGTGAGGATGTGGGGAAAAAGGAACCCTCATACACTGTTGGTGGCCATGTAAATTAATACAACCATTGTGGAACCATTGTATGGAGGCTCCTCAAAAAACTAAAAGTAGAATTGCCATATGATCCAGCAATACCTCTCTTAGGGACATACCTGAAGGAATATAAGTCAGGTTACAATAAAGGCACCTGCACACCCATATTCATTGCAGCATTATTCACAATAGTCAGGCTATGAAAAAAGCCAAGATGCCCCACTACTGACAAACTATTAAGAAAATGTGGTATTTATATGCAATGGAATTTTATTCATGCATAAAGAAAAATAATATTTTGTCACTTGCAGGTAAATGGATGGAACTGGAGAACCCCATCTTAAATGAAATTAACCAGATTCAGAAAGCCAAATACCATGTTTTCTCTTATATGTGTAATATAAAGTAGAAAAATACAGACCATGAACCAATTTGGGTTAAACATACATACACACACACACAACACACACACACACACACACACATGGAAATGTCAAAATGAAACCCCTGTATAGCTATCTTAAACAAACAAAAGAGTCTTTTGTTTTTTTCAAAGACAGTATAGGAAAGCAAAACCAGTCCTGCCTGGGATGGTGGTACCAGTGGGGGGGGAGGACATAAGGAAAATGTGTAGGAGGGTGAATACGGGGTATGCACACGTGTGTGTAAATTGAAATATAAGACCTGCTGAAACTATTCCAAAAGTGGAGGGTGTGGGTGGTAAAGGAGAATGATGGGGACTATGAATTCAACTATGATATATTGTAAGACCTTTTGTAAATTTACAACAATGGCAAAAAATAACTAAATAGAAGAGTTGCCTATGTAGCCAATGTAATTCAAAGTTGTCTCTAGTTTATATGAATTGTTCACACAAATAAATTAGTATGAAACAATACTTAAAAAATAAAAAAATTAAGTGCTGGTCTTAGAAAATTCATCAGTGCATATTCTATTTCACAGCTTGGAAAACTAAACCTGTGAGGATACAATTATATCCCCACAATCAAAATGTAATAACTCATCCGACCAGGCCTCTTTCCATCAAATCACCAGGCTTACCCAGCAAAACCCCAATGACACATTCATGGCTCAGATTCTCAAATGAAGATTGATACACACAGTACAACCATTTTTACAAAGCTTGCAGTTCCTGTGAATGTAAAACATACATCTAACAAGTGATTCAATCAGTTCACTCCTAGATTTCACCAAAAGAAATAAAAGTGTGCCTCTGTCTATCTGTACAAATTTCAAAGCCACTGACTAGTAATAGGCAAAACTAGTAATAGGAAAACCTGTGAAGTTCACTGCAGGTGAATAAGTCATCTACTTAGTTCATGAACATACTTGATATTTGATAGCACTTCTATCTCAACTGTTTTCCGACCATGGAGAAAGCCAATCTTCTGTTTTACTCGGTAGCTGGTGATACGAAAACTTAACACTGCCTCTTTGGGAACTGTCTTCATGTCACTGGAGGTCGTCCCTGGAGGGTCACTGGTGTCTCCTTCTGACAATGAGATCGAAACTTGGTCATTACTGGAACACATCTTGAAAGTTTCTGCCTTTCTGTAGAGGGAAAACCAATAGTAGGTTGATAGTCCAGAAAAATGAACATGTAAATAATAAATAACAGCACATTTAAAGGAAGTTTTTTTTTTAACTGCACTGCAATGAGCAGATTCTTTTCCAAAGGACAATCCACTTCCCTGTGATAAGAACAACCTCAGAACCTATAATGGGAGGCAGACACAACACTGCACTCAATTAGATACTATGTTGCTCAGAAATAAATGGGCTCTAACTGATAAATAGACTGTGAAAATTACTCAGACCTCAGCAAGAAAGAAAAGGATGGCTGAGAGTTAGACTGGTCTGACTTGAAAAGTATATTATGCCCACTAAGCCACCACCACGCCAGCCCACCAGGCCACTGCCTGTCCACTGGCCCACTGGCTGCTGCCCTCTGGCCCACTGGCACACCAGTCCCTGCCCTCCACAGGAGGGCTCCAGCACCACCAGACGCCGACTCCACACCTGCCTAGGAGATGCAGACAAACAGGACTGGATACTAAAGGAGTAACACCAGAACTGCTAAAACAATTTCTACTGTTTTGAACCAGGGGTTATTTTTTCTTTTTTTTTTTTCTTTTCTTTAAGTGTTTGTTTGTCTTGTGCATTGTTTGATTCTCTCCCTGTTGACTTATTTGGTTCTCTATTTTTTTCTCTTTTCCTCTTTCTTTTTCTTCTTCTTTTTTCTCCTTCTTTCTTGGTTTTGTTAATTTTACTATTGTAAGTTAGCTAACACTAAATTACACATAGACCAGGGACAGAAACAGTACCAAGTGGAATGATGGGAAGATGAAAAAGGGATGGAAACCATTCTCCCCTCAAAAATAAAGTAGTACAGGATTGAGAGGGAAATGAAGAAAATGGATAACCAGACCCAGACTCCAACAAAACAAAGATAAACCATACCAAGGAACCCAACAAAGCCCACAAGAACACTCTGAAAGAATAAATCCTGCAAGTAATTAATGAGAATTTCATAGAGATGTTACTAGACATGGTCAGCCAAAACATACAGGAGGCACTCAAGAAATTCCAAGACAACAAAAATAAAGAATATGAGAATACACAAAAACAAATAAAAGAGATCATAGGAGCCCTAAATAAACACCAAAGTGAAACAGAAAACACCATACATAGAGAGATAAATGAATTAAGGATGAAAATTGACAATATTAAAGAGGAAGTGACCCATGACATAGAAAACATCAGAAAAAAAGAATGAAACAGAAATATGAAACAAAATGGAAGGCCACTACAATAAACTAGAACAAGCAGAAGACAGAACCTCAGAACTTGAAGATGAAATGGTAATTAAAGGAAAAACTAAAGAACTATTAGTCAACAATGCAAGAATTGATGGATGCCATCAAAAGACCAAACCTGAGAATCATGGCCAACCTAGATGAAAAATTATGCCCTTTCAGGTACAAGAAGCCTCTAGGACACCAAACAGACTTGACCAAAATAGGACTACCCCACGACATATTACCATTAAACAACAAGCATGGAGAATAGAGAAAGAATATTGAAGGCTGTAAGAGAGAAAAAACAAATAACATACAAAGGTAAATCCATCAAAATCACAGCAGACTTCTCAATAGAAATCTTAAAAGCAAGAAGAGCATGGACTGAAGTCTTCTAGGCACTGAATGAAAATAACTTCAACCCTAGGATACTCTACCCAGCAAAACTATCATTGAAAATAGATGGAGCAATAACAGTCTTCCATGATAAGCAGAAACTAAAACAATATATGACCACCAAGCCACCACTATAAAAGATTCTTCAAGGAATTCTGTACACAGAAGGTGAAAGCAAACAAAACCATGAAAGGACTGGCAGTTCCAAACCAAAGGGGAAGAAAAGGCAACAAAGTAGAGAGTAACATCGATTTAGGTGCACACAATCAAACCCTTAAACAACAAAGATAACTAAATGACAGGAATCACCACATACCTATCAATACTAACATTGAATGTTAACATACTTAATTCTCCCAAAAAAGACACCACTTGGAAAACTGGATTAAAAAGGAAGATCCAACATTCTGCTGCCTACAGGATACCCATCTCATCAACAGAAACAAACACTGGCTGAGGGTCAAAAGCTGGAAGATTTACCAAACCAATGGTCCCTGAAAACAGGCAGGGATAGCAATACTTATCTCAGACAAAATAGACTTCAAATTTACATTGATCAAATGAGATAAAGAAGCAAACTCCATACTGATAAAAGGGGAAATACACCAAAAGTAAGTAACAATTATCAACCTATATGCCACCCAATGTCGATGCATGCAATTTCATCAAACATACTCTGAAGTACCTAAAAACATATATAGACTCCAACACAGTGGTAGTGGGAGACTTTAATACCCCCTATCACCAACAAATAGGTCATCCAAACAAAAATCAATAAAGAAATTCTAGAACTAAGTCATACCATAGGTCAAATGGACCTAGCTAATGTCTACATAATATTTCATCCAACTTCTGCACAATATACATTCCTCTCAGCAGCTCAAGGAACCTTCTTCAACACTGTTCATAACTTAGGGCACAAAGTAAGCCTCAGCAAATATAAGAAAATAGAAATAATTCCATGCATTCTATCTGATCACATGCATTAAAACTAGAAACTAACAACAAAAACAACAGTAAAAAACATGCAAACAATTAGAAGCTGAACAACACATTGCTCAATGATCAATGGGTCATTGATTAAATAAAAGAGTAAATTAAAAGGTTCCTGGAAGTTAATTAAAATGAAAACACGACATACCAGAACCTATGGGACACACCAAAGGCAGTCCTGAAAGGAAAGTTTATAGCCATGAGTGCATATATTAAAAGGACAGAAAGATCTCAAATCAAGGACCTAATGCTACATCTCAAACTCCTAGAAAAACAAGAACAAGCAAATCCTAAAGCAGCAGAAGGAGAGAAATAATAAAAATAAGGGCTGAAGTCAACAAAATAGAAACAGAAGAAAATCAGGCAAAGAATCAATGAAACAAAAAGCTGGTTCTTTGAAAAAATAAATAAGATTGACACACCCCCGGCAAACCTGACTAGAATGAGGAGAAAAAAACCCAAATCAGTAAAATCAGAAATGCAAAAGGGGAGATAATGACAAATACTACAGAAATTCAGGAAATCATCAGAGACTACTTTGAGAACCTATATTCTAATAAATTTGAAAATCTTGAAGAAATGAGCAGATTTCTACATACTTACAACAATCCAAAACTGAACCAAGTAGATATTAATCCACTGAGTAGATCTATAACACAAAATGAAATTGAAGCAGCAATAGAGTCTTCCAAAAAAGAAAGTCCAGTACCTGATGGATTCGCTGCTGAATTCTATCAGACTTTTAAAGAAGAACTAATACCAAACCGTTTCCTTAATGAACATCAATGCAAAATGGCAAACTGAATCCGACAACACATCAGAAAGATCATCCATCACTAGGAGCCATATGGCTCCTAGCCAAAGCAATTAGGCAAGAAGAAGAAATAAAAGGAATACAAATAGGTAAAGAAACTGTCAAAATATCCTTATTTGCAGACAATATGATCCTATACCTTAAAGACCCAAAAAAACTCTACCAAAAAACTAACAGACACCATAAACCGCTACAGCAAAGTGGCAGGATACAAAATCAACTTACAAAAATCATTTGCTTTCTATACACCAATAACAAACAAATTGAGAAAGAATATATAGAAATAATTCCATTTACAATAGCCCCCCAAAACTCAAATATGTAGGAGTAAACTTAATAAAGGATGTGAATGACCTCTACAAGGACAACTACAAACCCCTGAAAAAAGAGATTGAGGAAGACTACAGAAGGTGGAGAAATCTCCCATGTTCGTGGATTGGTAGAATCAACATAGCAAAAGTGGCTATACTACCAAAATCAATCCACATGTTTAATGCAATTCCCATCGAAATCCCCATGACATTCATTACAGAGATTGAAAAATCTACCCTCAAGTTCATTTGGAAACACAAGACAGCGAATAGCCAAGGCAATACGCAGCAAAAAGAGCAATGCTGAAGGTATCACGATACCCGACTTCAAACTATATTACAAAGCAATAGCAATAAAAACAGCATGGTACTGGCACAAAAGCAGACATGAAGACCACTGGAACAGAATCAAGGACCCAGATATGAATCCACACAGCTATGCTCACCTTATTTTTGACAAAGGCGCCAAAAACATATGATGAAGAAACGACAGCCTCTTCAACAAATGTTGCTGGGAAAAATGGTTATCCATCTGCAAAAAACTGAAACTACATCCATGTTTATCACCCTATACTAGTATCAACTCAAAGTGGATCAAGGACCTTAATATCAGACCCGAAACTCTGAAGTTAGTACAGGAAGGAACAGGGAGTACTCTGAAAATAATAGGTGTAGGCAAGGATTTCCTCAATAGAATCCCAACAGCTCAGCAACTCTGAGAAACTATGGGAAAATGGGACTTCATAAAATTAGAAAGCTTCTGCACAACAAAAGGAATAGTCTTTAAACTGAAGAGACCACCCACAGAGTGGGAGAAAATATTTGCCAGCTGTATATCAGACACAGAACTGATAACCAGAATATACAGGGATCTTGAAAATCTAAACTCTCCCAAAATCAATGAAGCAATAAGGAAATGGGCAACTGAACAAAACAGAACTTTCTCAAAAGATGATATTCAAATGGTCAAAAAACACATAAAAAAATGCTCACCACCTCTAGCCATAAAGGAAATGCAAATCTTAAATCCTGGCCTACAAATATTTATCTTAACCAAATGAGTGTTATTGTATCTCTGAGAATCATTTGTACATTAAAAAACAAGTGTATTTGGGGTCACTGTTGTTGTCCACCTAACTTATAAGATATCTAAAAATTTGATTGTTCTTAGCACTCATATATCTATTATTTTACCTAGCCAAAGATTCTAAATTTTACTCCAAAGGCAAAAGCTAAATT